CTGTTGGTGGGTCAGAGCTTCTCTGGTGGCTCAGTGGTAAAGAATCCACCCACCAAAGCAGGAGACGCAGGTTCAATCTCCGGGTGGGGAAGATCCCTTTGAGGAGGGAATGGCAATCCACTCCAATATTCGTGCCTGGAAAATCCCATAGACAGAAGATCACGGTCCATGGGGTGGCAGAGTCGGACATGACTTAGTGACTGAGCACACACGCATTCCAGGGTTATGGGTCTTGATTATACCATGACTGTTCCTCCCACACATGCCATTGTGGTTACTTCTTTCTGTCTTTAGTTGTAGAAAATCTCTGCTGGTCTTTAGTTGTCTTTAGTTCATTCTAACTGATAATTACTGTGTGTGTGTGTGTGTATTAGTCACTCAGTCATGTCTTACTCTTTACAACCCCGTGGACTATACTTGTAATTTTGTTGTGCCTATGGCAGGCGATCTTCTGGAGGAGGGCAGATACTCCAGTATTCTTGCCTGGAGAATCGCACGGACAGAGGAGCCTGGTGGGCTGCAGTCCATAGGGTGGCAGACAGTCAGACGTGACTAAAGTGACTGAGCACACATGTATGGGAGGAGATGAGCTCAGGATCTTCCTACTCTACTTTGTTGGCCACACCTTTGCACCTCTGAATTTTGCTTTTCAAATTCTGTCTGCTGGTCTCTGACTTCCAAATGCAATAGTCTGTGTAATGTAATAATTGATATGGTTTTGTTTTGGTCTACCAGTTTTCCTGTTCTTTCTCAGTTTTGTTTCTCTGTTCCTCCTTGTTTGGGGAGAGAGACGCCTCTTTAGGGCTGCATGAATATAATTTCATATTTAATTTTGAATTCCTTTATTGGCTTTGCCAGATTTTTTGCTTTGGGGAATATATTATACATCCTTAATTTACCATAATATACCTGAGTCAAGGCATAGCTTTGACTATACCTTTGTCAGCAATCTGATATCACTTCTTTTTAATACACTGAGTAGGTTTGTCATAGCTTTTCTTCCAAGGGGCAATTGTCTGAATTTCATAGCTGCAGTCACTGTCTGCAGTGATTTCGGAGCCCAAGAGAATAAAATCTGCCACTGTTTCCACTTTTTCACCATCTGTTTGCCATGAAGTGATGGGACAGGATGCCATGATCTTCGTTTTTTGAACATTGAGTTTTTGAGCTTTTTCACTGTCCTCTGTCACCCTCATCAAGAGGCTTGTTAGTTCCTCTTCACTTTCTGCCATATGGGAGGTGTCATCTGCATATCTGAGGTTGTTGATGTTTCTTCTGGCAGTCTTGATTCCAGCTTGTGATTCATCCAGCCCAGCATTTCACATGATGTACTCTGCATAGAACTCAAATAAAAAGGGTGACAATATACAGCCTTGACGTACTTGTTTCCGAATTTGGAACCAGTCCGTTATTCCATATCCAGTTGTAAATGTTGCTTCTTGACCTGCATATAAGTTTCTCAGGCAGGTAAGGTGGTCAGGTATTCCCATCTTTTCAAGAATTTTCCACAGTTTGTTGTGATCCACACAGTCAAAGACTTCAGCATAATCAATGAAGCAGAAGTAGGTGTTTTTCTGGAATTCCCTTGCTTTCTCTGTAATCCAGTGGATGTCGGCAATTTGATCTCTGGTTCCTCTGCCTTTTCTAAATCCAGCTTGTACATCTGGAAGTCCTTGGTTCATGTACTGTTGAAGCCTAGCTTGAAAGATTTTGAGCATTACTTTGCTGACATGTGAAATGAGCCTTGTACAGTAGTTTGAACACTCTTTGGCATTGCCTTTTTCTTTGGGATTGGAATGAAAACCGACCTTTTCCAGTCTTGTGGCCATTGCTGAGTTTTCCAAATTTGCTGGTATATTGAGCAACATTTTCACAGCATCATCTTTTAGGATTTGAAATAGCTCAGCTGAAATTCCATCATCTCTACTAGCTTTGTTTGTAGTGATGCTTCCTAAGGCCCACCCACTTGATTTCACACTCCAGGATGTCTAGCTCTAGATGAGTGATCACATCATCATGGTTATTTGGGTCATGAAGATCTTTTTTGTATATTTCTGTGTATTCTTGCCACCTCTTCTTAATATCTTCTGCTGCTTTTAGGTCCATACAATTTTTGTCCTTTATTGTACCCATCTTTGTCATGAAATGTTCCCTTGGTATCTCTAATTTTCTTGAAGAGATCTGTGGTATTTCCCATTCTGTTGTTTTCTTCTATTTCTTTGCATTGTTCATTTAAGAAATCTTTTTTTTTTTTATCTCTCCTTGCTATTCTCTGGAACTCTGCATTCATCTGGGTATATCTTTCCCTTTCTCTTTGCCTTTCACTTCTTTTCTCAGCTGTTTTAAGGACTCCTCAAACAACCACTTTCCTTTTTTGCAGTTCTCTTTCTTTGGTATGGTTTTAGTTACTGCCTTCTCTACAATGTTATGAACCTCCATCCACAGTTCTTCAGGTTTTCTGTCAGATCTAATTCCTTGAGTAATCTTATTTGTCACTTCCACTGTATAATCGTAAGGGATTTGATTTAGGTCATCCCTGAATGGTCTAGTGGTTTTACCTACTTTCTTCAACTTAAGTCTGCATTTTGCAATAAGGAGGTTGTGATCTGAGCCACAATCAGCTTCTAGTCTTGATTTTGCTAGCTGTATGAGCTTCTCCATCTTTGTTGCAAAGAAAATAATCAGTCTTTTTTCAGTATTGACTGTCTGGTGATGTCCATGTGTAGAGTTGTCTCTTGTGTTGTTGGAAGAGGGTGTTTGCTATGACCAGTGTGTTCTCTTGGCAAACCTCTGTTAGCCTTTGCCTTGCTTCATTTTGTACTCCAAGGCCAAACTTGCCTATTACTCCAGGTATCTCTTGATTTCCTACTTTTGCATTCTAGTTCCCTGTTGTGAAAAGGACATTTTTTTTGGTGTTCTAGAGGGTCTTGTAGGTCTTCGTATAACTGTTGAACTTCAGCTTCTTTGGCATTAGTGGTTGGGGCATAGACTTGGAGTACTGTGTTGCTGAATTGTGTGCTTTGGAAATGAACTAAGTTCATTCTGTCATTTTTGACATTGCACTCAAATACTAGGGCATTTCAAGCTCTTTTGTTGACTATGATGGCTACTCCATTTCTTCTCAGGGATTCTTGGCCACAGTAGTAGATAAAATGGTTATCTGAATTAAATTCACCTATTCCTGTCCATTTTTGTTCACTGATTCCTAATATGTTGAGGTTTACTCTTGCCATCTCCTGCTTGTGAAAGTTGCTCAGTCATGTCCGACTCTTTGTGACCCCATGGACTGTACAGTCAGTGAAATCCTCCAGGCCAGAATACTGGAGTGGCTAGCATTTCTCTTATCCAGGGGATCTTCCCAACCCAGGGATGGAACTCAGGTCTCCTGCATTGTGGCCAGATTCTTTACCAGCTGATCTACCAGGGAAGCCCTGGTTGACCATGTGCAATTTACCCTGATTCATTGACCTAACACTCTAAAAACCTATGCAGTCTTTATAGCATCAGAGTTTACTTTCACCAACAGACACATCTATAGTGGAGCATCATTTCCACTTTGGTCCAGCCTCTTTATTCTTTCTGGAACTATTTCTCCCCTCTTGTGCAGTAGCATATTAGACACCTACTGACCTGGAGGGCTCATCATCCGGTGTTACGTCTTTTTTGCCTTTTCATACTGTTCATGGAGTTCTCCTGGCAAGAATACTGAAGTGGTTTGCAATTCCCTTCTCCAGTGAACCATGTTTGTCAAAACTCTCTACCATGACTCGACTGTCAAAAATCTATTAAATATTTGTCTGAAATTCAAACATCTATGTCATCTTGTAGAGAAGGCAATGGCAACCCACTCCAGTACTCTTGCCTGGAAAATCCCATGGATGGAGGAGCCTGAAGTCCATGGGGTTGCTAAGAGTGGGGCACGACTGAGCCACTTCACTTTCACTTTTCACTTTCATGCATTGGAGAAGGAAATAGCAACCCACTCCAGTAGTTTTGCCTGGAGTCCCAGGGATGATGGAGCCTAGTAGGCTGCCGTCTGTGGGGTCGCACAGAGTTGGACACGACTAAAGTGACTTAGCAGCAGCAGCATGTCATCTTGAAGATGATTTCTACTGTTCATTTTTTTCTCTTTCCCATAACTCACATTGTCCTGTTTTATTGCTTGAGTGTTATGTTTTGCTTGTATAATGGACATTTTTGAGGATATGTTGCAGAAACCCTGGGTTCTGTTGTGTTCTGTTATCTTCTGAAAAATATTGGGTTTTGTTCTGTCACACAGTTAAGTTACTGACAGGTCACCTGGAGCTTGGGGAGGCTTTGTTTTATACTTCCTTTAGGCAAAGACTTTAAATTTTACTGTTAGTCTTAGGGCAACTTCCTTAGTTCTAGAATATAGTTGTGTGATTTTTCCCTAAGAAGTAGCCCTTCTCCAATTTTAATTGAAAGCACAAACTGTTTTCCAAGTCATCTAATTATGTGAAACTTACACTCCAAACTCTTCTTTCTTTTGCAGCAGGCAGCTATTGAAATCTCTGTTTAGTTCATTTAGGGTCTAGTGCTTACTTTCCTCTAGATTCTCACACATAGGATTTTCTGAGATTTTCTTCCTCAATTTCAAGTTGTTTTCAAAGCAGGGGGTTCTATGCTCTGATAACTCAGTCTATTATGAGTTCAGCTTTCTGACTGAGGTCTTGCTATTCTTCCATAATGCTGGGGACTGCATCTGGTTAAAAGTGGTATAAATGTGGATCTCTGCAAGGGTTGAATCCATTCCAAATTCTCTTGCTTTTCAGTACTCTTCAGTGCCTGTATTAAATACTTGATTTCTTTATTTTGTTCGCAGCTTATCATGGTTATATATGGATGGGTTAGTGCAATATGAGCCCCTTTGCATTACTGTGCCTGGAATGCCACCTCTTTATTTTTTATAACATTTACTTCAGATGGTTAATATATTTCTCATTATGACTTTATTAGATCATTTTTATATCTATTCATAGATATGAAGAGAAAGCTACTAAAGACTTGGAAAGATACAATAAGCAAATTAAGAGAGCCATTGAACAGGAGTCACAAGCATTAAAAGATGGCAAAAAAAAGATGAAACCCACCAGTGTTTGGCATTTGGCACAGAAGCACAAGTCGAAAACTTCACTATCCAATCAGCCAAAACTTGATGAGCTCTTTCAGGCCCAAATTGAAAAAAAAAAGAACGAAAACATTAAAATAGTTCAGATCTCCTTCTCTATGGAAAACTTAAAAAAGAATTTTGATACACAGAAGAAATTTGACTCAGAAGAAAAGGACGAGTTTTGCTTGATCCATAATCTCAAGTTTCCTGACGCATGGCTAATTACATCCAAAACAGAGATAATGTTGTTAAATCCATACAGAGTGGAAGAAGCTCTGCTATTTAAAAGGCTTCTTGAGAATCACAAACTTCCTGCAGAGCCACTGGAAAAACCAATTATATTAACAGAGAGGTATGGTGAAGTAATTTTTTTTTTACTCTTAAATTTAAAACATTTACTAATTGAAATTGAAGGTGAAAGGTTGGATTCCCTAGTATGGAAAAGTGATATTTATTTAAAGAAACTGTATAATTTGATTTCTAATATTTAGTAGAATTAATTGCTTTTAAATAATTTTAGACTATTCTAGATAGTTTATTTCTGCACTTAATAAATAGTAAGCTCAGTCCCCCACCACCCATACATTAGTAACTTCCCCAGGGTAATTCTGACATTGGATTGCCACGGCACTTCTTCATTGTGTAGTCTGTTTTAACATTTCAAACATATACCAACATAGAGTTATACAGTAATTGCCTTTATCAATAGTTACCAGGATTTTCCCACATTTCCTCTGTCTGTCCTTGACATTTATATATGCACATGTATGTTTTTCCTTTTGTTAAAGAATTTAGAATGATTCCCACCTAAAAGAGTTTTCAGTGTATCGCTAAAGTGGCCATTTTCTTACTTAGCTACAGTGCCTTTTTTCATACCCTGTTGCTGCTGCTGCTAAGTTGCTTCAGTCGTGTCTGACTGTGTGTGACCCCATAGATGGCAGCCCACCAGGCTCCCCCATCCCTGGGGTTCTCCAGGCAAGAACACTGGAGTGGGTCGCCATTTCCTTCTCCAATGCATAAAGTGAAAAGTGAAAGTGAAGTCGCTCAGTCGTGTCCGACTCTTTGCAACCCTGTGGACTGCAGTCTACCAGGCTCCTCCGTCCATGGGATTTTCCAGGCAGGAATACTGGAGTGGGTCGCCATTTCATACCCTACACAATACTAATTCATTGGAATTGTTTCTCATTGTCTCAAAATGTGTTTTTGTATTTTTTATATTAATTTACATCTAACCCAGGTCCAGCCATTACATTTTGTTATATATTTTAAATCTTTTCTAATATCATACCATTAACTCATTGTGGATACTTAAGTCACTTACTTGTTAGAATATCCCATCTCTATTGGTCTGTCTTGTTTCCTTGTGGTGATGTTTAACTTGTTTTTCCCTCTCCCATTTTTAAATGGATATTAGTTCAGGAGGATTGAATAGATTTAGATTATACTTTCTGGTAAGACTGCTTAATAGGTGATGCTATGTGCTTCATATTCCATCACATCAAAAGGCACTCATCACTGGGTTCAGGGAAGCCTGGCGTGCTGCAGTCCGTGGGGTCGCAGAGTTGGAAACAGCTGAGCAACTGAAATGAGCTACTGACAACCTGACGTTCCACCTTCAAGTTCCCGGTTAACTTTTCATAATGGTTTTAACCACTGATGATTATTGCCTGCACTAATATTATTATAGATTATAAAATGGGGTATTTCCTGTTCATATCCTACATGAGCAAATTGTTTTTTCTTAAAACAAATAGCTATTAACTAAAATACTAACATTTCACTTTTTTATACTTAAGGTTTCTTTTTTTAGCCTTACATAGGTAGAAGAAGTTATGATAAAGGAGGTAACCTAAAATTTAAAAGATGTGAGTTTGTTTTGTAGGACAAAGTTCTGTATCAGAACGTACAGAAATAAATCAAAACTCATTTTAAAAATGTGTTCAAACCCTTGTGTTACTACAGGCACTTCCTCCAGAAAGAAAAACAGGGCTAGAAACAGAAAAACATTTGATAAAGCTGTCTTTGAGTATAAAATTTCAAATACATTCTAGCTCTTTTTAAGGGAAAAGAGAGAAAAGTACTGTCAAATTTTTTAACTGTTTTAATTAAACCTAAGGGTGTATTAATTTTTTAAAATTCTTCCTTTGACAAATTCCTAAGCCAGTTTAAAGAGAATACTGCAGTAGTAATCACAGTAACTAAAGTCCAGTGTCTTTCACAGTATTCTCTTTAATCTGGCTTAGGAAATTGTGAAAGGAAGAATTTAAAAGAATTAATACACCCTTAGGTTTAATTAAAACAGTTACAAAATTTGACAGTACTTTTCTCTCTCTTCCCTTAAGAGCTAGAGTGTATTTGAAATTTTATACTTGATTGCTTTTCTAAATGATGTTTGTAAATTTTTATTTATATCAAAAATCTTTTTGTGCTTGTATGAATTACAGGTTTTTAAAAATATTTTTCTTTATGATTTCTGTTATACATTAAAACTATTAAAATACAGTATATAGATTAAAAATTACATTAAAATTATTATTTGGGTCCATACAACCTGAGAATAGTCTTTCATATTTGAATAGCAGCAAAACTTCATCCAAAATTGTTTTCCCCTTTCTTCTGAAATGTAACATCCCCATCATAATAAGTTTTTAAAAACTAAGTCATAAATAGGATAATTATGTGTTGGACTATTTTTGCATCAGATTTCTAATGCAGGTTGTATCGTTTATCTCTCAACAGAATAATTTAGAGATCTATAAAATACAAAGTGAGAGCTCAATAATAATCACAAAAATGGCTAATATTAATTGCACTCTTACTGTATGATAGGAACTTCCCTAAGCTTTTTGCTTTCGTGATCTCACCTTCACAGTAGCCTAATGAGAGGTATCCACATTTTAATGAGGAAACAAGTACAGAAGCGTCAAGTACCTCACCAAGGTTCATACAGTCAGTATGTAAGTGGAGTGTGTGAGACTCCAGTCTTGACACAACTGTGGGTCCTGCACCACTGCTTTCTGTACTGTGTCATCCCCGCCACCACTGCACCACTGCCGGCTCTCAGATTGGTCTTCTGAACACTGGGCTGCGTCAGACACAGCACCTCTGCTGTATGGCCAGAGTTCTCCTCTCTGCGGCATCTGCTCTCCTCAGCCTTTCAGAGGTGATGAGCAAAGACATTATCTATTCATTGACTTTTTCAAGGAGTTCAGGATTTTAATGAACAAGTAGCAGCTTATCATCCTGCACCAGATAGAATGTGGAACAGTGCCTTACACACCTACCATATGGTGGGTGTCAACAGACGTTATTGTGTATAACATGTTATGAAGCACCCTGAGCAGGCCTGAAACCAATATGAAAGGTTAATTTCTGCCCTAGATAATCTTTCACCACCTCAAAATTTTGTTTAATGCTTTTACCACTCAGAACCATGTCATAGGCCACCTTTGGCAAACATATCATGCCTATAGTATACAGGAGGAATCTCTCCAAAGTCCTGAATTATTAAATTTTTAAGTGCCTGGGAGAAAAGGTTACATGCTTATCATCTTCTTATTGAAGAAGACTAACGACAGAATATTATGCAAGGTGGACTGCATCAATAACTTGACGGTATATTGTGTCTGTGTAAATTAAGGTGTAAAGTGACATTATTTATAAATAAAGTTTTCATTTGTATTATATCAAAAGCACTTTTTAAATTTCACATTTAGTTTGTAAAGTTGCAGAAGATAGAAACTGGCTTTTGTGTCTATTCTTCCTTTCTGTACTGTATGTGGTAGGTCTATGAAGTATTGAAGTAAAGTTGCTCAGTCATGTCTAACTCTGCGACCCCATGGACCGTAGCCTACCAGGCTTCTCCCACGGGATTTCCCAGGCAAGAATACTGGAGTGGATTGCCATTTCCTTCTCCAGAGGATCTTCCCCACCCAGGAATCGAGCCCAGGTCTCCTGCACTGTAGGCAGAAGTCCTCTATGAAGTATTAAACAAATGTAAAAGCAGTGAAGTTCCTCACCAGGCTTCTTACACCGTTGTATTTTGGTTACTGATAATAACACTTTTTAAAGGACCTTCAGATTAACTTTTTTCCATAAATTCTCTTATGTCACTTAAAATATTTAAGAAGTTAAAGGGCCATAATTTCTTTTTCAGTCTTTTTAATGGATCCCATTATTTAGAGATTTTACAGAAAATGACAGCAGATGACCAGAGATACAGTGGATCAATTTACCTGTCCGATCCTCGTCTTACAGCAAATGGTTTCAAGATAAAATTGACACCAGGTATGATACTGTGGTTTAATATTTCCTGAGTCAGAAAAACAAATCTTGTTCCAAAAGTTACTTTTGGGTTTCATAGTTTACAGATGTGATGGCATGGTTTTGTCTTACCAAAAGTATAATGTCAGCTGTATAAAAACAGTGTATTTCCAAAAGGTCACTTCTGCCTGAAACAAGCAAGTTTGGCATATCTTTCAGTCCATTGCTTTATGTTTAGCATTTTCATAACTAACTAGCAACTATAATTTTTGCCATTCTTTGTCACAACATGCATACTGCCTGCTGTGTCTAACTAAATTATTAAATACTCCTTAGCTGATGAAGCAGAAATAAACATGTAGGATNTTTCAAAAGCATCAATTCTGTGATGCTCAGCTTTCTTTATGGTTCCAGGCTTTGCTGTAAAGCCTGTTATAACACTGTTTGTTTACTGGAAATTCACCAGGTGAGGAGAAAAAGGAAAATTCATCTGGCTAGGAGACTTCAGTTTTCCTGGCTGGCCTCTTCTCTGTTCTTTCATAGTTTCCATACGTAACTGCCTCTGCCCCTGCTTCCCAGGTGGCGCTAGTGGTAAGGAGCCCATCTGCAAACGCAGGCCAGTCTTGTCCTGTTACTTTGCCTTCTGTCTGGTATCAAGAGGCACAAAGGTTCCAGGACGAGTGATTCCACTGTCCCCTGGCCCACTCGCCCCCTAAACTTCCCATGCTCAAAGTATAATTATTATGTGCATGGCACTAGTCTGTAAGTATTACATGTATTAATTCACTTGATCTTTCTAAAGGCTATGATTCAGTTACTGTGCACATTTTTTACAGTTAGAAACATCAAGGCAGGAGAAATTTAGTTTGCTTAAGTATACAGAATTAATGATAGAACCAGAATATGAACCCAAGCAATCTGCCTTTAGGGAGGTGGGAGGGGGGTTCAGGATGGGGAACACATGTAAATCCATGGCTGATTCATGTCAATGTATGGCAAAAATCACTGCAATATTGTAATTAGCCTCCAACTAATAAAAATAAATGGGAAAAGAAAAACCTCGCTCTTAATTTATGTTGATTTCCTGTTAAAATTGATATATTTTCTTCATGAAGATCAGTTAGCATAGTACATGCCAGTGGTATGTGTTTAAATTTTCTCTTCTCTTCCCATTCTTCAGTGCCTCCTTTCTGATTTGAACTGACTTACACTCATTTTTGGGGGAAACAGTGGAAACAGTGCCTGACTTTATTTTTGGGGGCTCCCAAATCACTGCAGATGGTGATTGCAGCCATGAAATTAAAAGACGCTTACTCCTTGGAAGGGAAGTTATGACCAACCTAGACAGCATGTTGAAAAGTAGAGACATTACTTTGCCAACAAAGGTCCGTCTAGTCAAGGCTATGGTTTTTCCAGTAGACATGTATAGATGTGAGAGTTGGACTATAAAGAAAGCTGAGCACCGAAGAATTGATGCTTTTGAACTGTGGTNCAACTCAATGGACATGAGTTTGAGTAAACTCCAGGAGTTGGTGATAGACAGGGGCATGCTGCGATTCATGGGGTCACAAAGAGTCGGACACGACTGAGTGACTGAACTGAACTGACCACTCATTTTTTAGGTCCTCCTAGAAATCTTTTTTCCTCAGGGCTTCTGACATTTAAAAATTTATTTGAAGTATGAATCAAGGAGTTTATGTATGTGTGTAGCAAGATATTTTTTTCTTAGTCTATTTTCCTAAGTAACTTTGTGGTATTGGTGGCAAGTATTTTTTTTTTTTTCATGAAAAATGTTATCACAGCAATTTTTGTTTAAGTTGGGATAATTAACCTGTCTCTTTCAGGTACATGTTTGTTTTTGAGTTACCCAATAAGTTTCTATTTCAGGGATGCATTCAGCTCTTAACCTGTAGATAGTGTTTTTAAGTCCTATAAATGTGGGGTACTTTGCATGGCACCAGAGATATAAAAATGAATAAGCTAGTCATCTGCAAGCTGACTTGATTTGGGTGGAATTTACTCAGATTATCATCAGCATTGTTTCTCTTCTCTGTAACAGATCAAGGTAAAAATATTCATGTTTCCTTTCTTCATTTTTTTTTTAGCTGTTTTCTTCTTCATTATTTTTTGTCATTTTTTTTAAAGACTATTTCTCATCTTTTAGTGAGTTTTACTATATTGGACTAACTTTTGATCAGCAGTTTGCCAGTTGCTGGAAAACATCTTTACATAAAAGCACTTGAAAGAGAGGAAGAATACATAATAAGGCTTTAAGGAAAAAGATTCTTAATGTGACCTTAAAGAAATTTGATTGTTAATGAGAATAGCTTTTGTTCTATATCAGTAAGAATTACCCATTTTGGGAACTGCAAGCTTGTCAGACCAGACCTTATTAAAGTATTTTCAGAAAATTGAGAAGCATTTCACAGAATTTTATGAAAACTTCTTGAACATGATTCTAAATGTCTCTTTAAGTTTTCCTTATCTATATTCTGCAAACACAGAGATTAACATATTGTTCAATTTCCTCATTTGTTCCCATATACTTTATACCCGGACTTCTCTGGTGACTTAAGATGGTAAAAGAATCCATGTGCAATGCAGGAGACCTGGGTTCAATCCCTGGGTTAGGAAGATCCCCTGGAGGAGGGCATGGGAACCCACTCCAGTATTCTTGCCTTCAGAATCCCTATGGACAGAAGAGCCTGGTGGGTTACAGTCCATGGGGTTGTAAAAAGTCAGACACAACTGAGCAGCTAAGCACATAGCAATTTTTACCCATATCCACAAAATTTTCCTGCGTTCATGTGTTAAGTATTAGCTGTTTCAGTCTAATCATACTGCAAATAATATAGAACTAGCAATAATGAAAAGTCTCTTGACTGATAAATTTTACTATCTGTATATATATAAAAAGATGTTTACTGGAATATTCTGCTACTTCCTCTTTGCCTATCGAATCCCTGTTTCAAGTCCCATTTAAGTTCAGTTGGTTGCTCAGACTCTCATTTTGTCTCCCTTTACTGAACTCTGTATTTTATCCCTGAACACTTGATTATGTATCTTCTTGTATTGTTCTCCAGTTGTTTCCTCAGAGGAACATTAGGATGCGCACTCTGTTTATTATACCACCAGTGCATCTGCCATTCAGGTCAAGGAACTAGTCTGTAAATGGCAGGTGGTTAGGAATGGGTTCATTGACATCTCAGGACCTGAAACTCTTAAGCTACATCACTCCTCTTTTAAAATTTTCCCTTTGATAAGCTTATCCAACATCGGACTATCTCTTTTTCTTTACCTATAGGTAACATCTTGTGGTCTGCAGTTTTAAGAATACTGTTTCACAGAGCCAAAAAACCCAAATCTTTGCTATTTTCTAAAAATCAAAATGTGTTCTAAAGCTGAATTTGATGCTTGGGAATGCATGTTGTTAATGTTATTTTACCCCATTATAGATGCACTGATGTTGCTAATTTTTAATCACTAAATTAGTTAAAGAAGTTCAAATAATATGTCAGATTTAAACATTATTCTAAAAACTAAACATTAGTATTTCATTTCTTCAGACTGCTAATATATTAATAAGTTACTATAGTGGTAATCATTCTGTAACTTATATGTATATTTATCAACACTTTGTGCACCTTAAACTTACACAATGTTATGTGTCAAACACATCTAAATAAAGCTGGAAAAAAATAACTATTTTTATAATAACTTGTAAGATAAACTAATCTTCAAAATAATTCAGGCTTTTAGATACTAAACCAGTAGGACAGAATTTGAATATCAACAGTTGTTAAAACATTTAAGCCAGTTTTATTTTAATAAATATCATGGGACTCCATTTTCTCTCCAAAGTAAGAAATGTTCTAAACAAATGTAGGGAACAGAACAATAATATCTGAGATTAAATGATATAAAGTACATGTGGTTTCTTTGAGCATTTATGACTTAATGTGAATGTGAAATCCTATGGGAAATTATTATTTGTTCTTCAACTAGGGAACAAAACTTTTTCCGACAATATTAGATTCTAATGAATGTTCACCAAATATTTTAACAGTGATTTTGTTTTTCTTAGACATTTTCTGGAATACAGTTTAAACAAAATTTAACTATATGTGGTTTTATTTTTTATTTTTTTCTTTTAGGAGTTTCCGTTGCTGAAAACTACTTGGAAATAGAAGGAATGGCTAATTGCCTTCCATTCTATGGAGTGATGGATTTAAAAGAAATCCTTAATGCTATATTAAACAAAAATGCAAAGGAAGTTTATGAATGTAGACCTCGCAAAGTGATAAGTTATTTAGAGGTATGTATTATTAGCTTATGTAGATTGGCTAGATTTTAAGATACTTAACTCTTTCTTAATAGTAAATGATTTCAAAATCCTATAAGGTTTGTTATCTGTTTACAAGAGGAAAAGCTGCTTAAATGTCACCTGGAGGAAACTTTCCCTAACCATACTCTCTTTATCACATTACTCAGTTTAATTTTGTGCAATTACTTGCTGAAATTTTGTCTTTTTTAAAAAAATTTATTTATTTTTAGTTGGAGGATAATTGCTTTACAATGTTGTGTAGGTTTCTGCCATACATCAACATGAATGAGTCATAGGTATACATATACTCCCTCCCTCATGAGCCTCCCTCCCACTTCCCACCCCATTCCACTCCTCTAGCTTGTTTAGGTTATCTTTTTATCTTTCTGCTTCTCTGCACTAGAATGTCAGTTTCAGAAGAGCAAAGTGTTAGTTGCCCAGTCGTGCCCGATTCTTTGCGACCCCATGGACTGCAGCTCCCCACGCTCTTCTGTCCATCAAATTTTCCAAGCAAGGATACTGGAGTGGGTTGCCATTTCCTTCTCCAGGGGATCTTGCCAACCCAGGGGTCGAACCCGGGTCTGCTGCACTGCAGGCAGATTCTTTACCGATTGAGCTACAAGGGAAGACCAGAAGAGCAAAGATGTTGCTTTTCTTGTTCTCTGCTGTATTTGTAGAACCTACAACAGTGACTAGCACATAATTGTTGTGTTGAGTGAGTGAATAATTAAAGAATATAATCAATTTTCTGTCTTCCTATTTGCCAGTAAAAACCTGTTTTCTGCTTCAGGTATATGACAGTAAAACATACGGCTTTCTCTCCACAGGGAGAAGCAGTACGTCTGTCTAGACAATTACCCATGTACTTATCAAAAGAGGACATCCAAGATATTATCTACAGAATGAAGCACCAGTTTAGAAATGAAATTAAAGGGTGTGTTCATGGTCGCCCATTTTTTCATCATTTAACCCATCTTCCAGAAGCTACATAATTATGTTTAAGAAAATTTGTTACTATTGAAGTCAATATGATCATAAAATAATGAATCAGGTTTAAACTATCTGTGTACTATCATGTGTTAAATGGTTGTTTTGTAAATAAGGAATCACTGGCCTGTTTGTATATTGAAAAAATTTTTTTAACTCTGAAAAATTAATAAATTAATATAGACTATTAATTTATTTTATTCTCAAGAACCAACCTTCATAATAACTATTGGTTATAAACTCTAAATTGAAAAATACTTAACTGTTCTTGGGTGGTTGATTGACTCAGCCCAGTGAGTCAGCTGTTCTCATCAGATGATTCCAGTACTTTGGTCATCTGATTCAAAGGGCTGACTCATTGAAAAAGTCCCTGATGCTGGGAAGGACTGAGGGCAGGAGAAGAGGGCATCAGAGGAGGAGATGCCTGGATGCTGTCACCGATGCAGGGGACATGGATTGGGCAAACTTCCGGAGATGGTGAGGGACAGGGAGGCCTGGTGTGCTACAGTCCAAAGAGTCGTGACTGGATGACTGAACCACAACAACATGGACTAAATTGTATCCTCCACATTTTTCAGGTGAAGCCCTGACCCCAAGTGAGATGGCATTTGCAGATGAACCTTTTAAAGAGGCAGTTAGGTGTAGTGAGGGTGGGGCTGGGGCACTCCTGGTGGGATTAGCGCCCTTATAAGAAGAGATACCACAGAGTTTGCTCATTCTCTTGTTATCCTTTCACCAACAATCCCAACTCGTGTTCCAGCTGCTGGACAGAGAGAGAAAGTGGCCCTCTCTAATCCAGGAGTAGAGCTCTTACCAGAAACCAATCATGTCAGCACCTTGACTTAGACTTCTAGCCTCTAGAACTATAGGAAAATGCCTGTTGTGCTTTTTAAGTCCAGTCTGTAGTATTTGCTGTGGCAGCCTGAACTAATACACGGGGTTCCATGCTCTGCAGGGAAAATAAAACATTCACCTGGAGTATCTGACAGAAGGTATCAATCTTGTGTAAAGGAATGGGGTAGGGGAAAAGTAAGGAAATAACAATGTAGAGAAACAAGATAAAACATAACTTCAAATCCTATTATTTACCTCTATTTGGGGGTAACAGTTGAGAAGTTGCTGTTTCTTATGTGGAAATTGTTGGGCTGTGGGATCAAAATTTCTCAGAACATGGGAAGATACAGATTTTTAACAAAATTTAGATTTGAGTATTCATAATGCATGTGTTCTTTGAAAACCAGATCCCACAGTTCAGTTGAGTCACTCAGTCGTGTCCGACTCTATGACCGCATGGACTGTAGCACGCCAGGCCTCCCTGTCTATCACCAACTCCAGGAGTTTACTCAGACTCATGTCCATTGAGTCCGTGATGCCATCCAACCATCTCATCCTTTGTCGTCCCCTTCTCCTCCTGCCTTCAATCTTTCCCAGCATCAGGGTCTTTTCAAATGAGTCAGCTCTTCACATCAGGTGGCCAAAGTATTGGAGTTTCAGCTTCAGCATCAGTCCTTCCAATGAACACCCAGGACTGATCTCCTTTAGGATGGACTGGTTGGATCTCCTTG